AGACTCTGTCTCTACAAAAAAATAGAATATTAGCTGGACATGGTGGCATGTGCCTGTAATCCCAGTTACTTGAGAGGCTGAGGCTGGAGGATCATTTGAGCCCAGGAATTGGAGGTTGCAGTGAGCTATGATCCTGGCACTATACTCTAGCCTGGCCAACAGAGTGAGACTCCTTGTTTTAAAAAAACATGGTTAAGATGGTAAATTTTATATTAGGTGTATTTTACAACAATAAAAAATTGGGAAAAAAAACAGTCATTGAATTTAATCCAGCAAATGGGTTAAGGAAAATTAGACAGCTATAGAAAAAATTACTGACATGGAAGATTGCATCAAAGAAATTATCTGTTAATAGATTGCAATACAGAAAGATAAAAAGATGAACACTCTGTAAAAGATGTTAGAAGACATGGAAGATTGAAATTTTTAGTAGATATTCCAGAGGAAAGATAGGAGAGTTAGGGGAGGGTAACGTGGTAAAAGAATTTTTGGGAGTATATTTGACATGTATCATCTTACTGATGGAACTCAACAAGTTTTGAGCAAGATAAATAGAAATAAATCTATACTTAGCTAGATATGCTATAAAAAAACAAACCCTGGCCGGGCACAGTAGCTCACGCCTGTAATCATAGCACTCTGGGAGGCCAAGGCACGTGGATCCTTTGAGCTCAGGAGTTCGAGACCAGCCTGACCAAGAGCGAGACCCCGTCTCTACTAAAAAATATAAATAAATTAGCAGGGCATGGTGGTGCATACATGTAATCCCAGCTACTCAGGAGGCCGAGGCAGAAGAATTGCTTAAGCCCAGGAGTTGGAGGTTGCTGTGAGCTAGGCTGATGCCATGGCACTCTAGCCCAGGCAACAGAGTAAGACTCTGTCTCAAAAACAAAAAACAAACAAAAAAAAAAAACCTGTAGGATTCCAAAGACTACAAAGATTAAAAGCAACCACAGAGAAAAGATAAGAGATGGATATTCCAGGGATCAACAATTAGGTGGTCAGATTTCTCAAAGTATGATAGAAGTCAGAAGATACTTCAGAGTGCTCAGGGAAAATAACCCATTGCCCTGCTAACCTATCACTTCAGACAGAGATAGAGAGAGCTGACCATCAATATGATTTTAGCTGAAAGAAACAATGAGATATTTCAGGAAGAAGAAAATTGAACTCAGAATTTAAATGTGAGAGCCAAGAAATAATGGTAAACAAATAAGTTTGTGAATGTGCCTAAATAAGTTAGGTTGTATAAAATTATGGATGATGATAACTGCTTGCTAGGAAGAGGGAATTATGAAAATAAGGAGGCATTAGATACTGACAGGCACAGGAAGTATCAGAAGTGGTGTGATGAAGCCAGGGTGAGAGTTTCTTGTGTTTGTGTGGATGGAGGGGAGAGATTTTATTAACTTTAGACTTTGTTAAGTATACATGGGAAATTACTAAATGAATAGAAATAGAAGGTAAAACTTCCACACAATTAAAAGGTAAAAAAGGGAATGAAGATGAGTCAGTCAATCTAGTAGAAATCCGGAAGGGGGGGATAATTAGTAAACACAAGGTGAAATATAAAAAAATACAAATATGTCAGTAATCATTGTAAATGTAAGTGGCTTAAATTTATAAGTTAAAGCTAAGATTCACATTGGTAAAATAGGAATCCAACTTGAAGCTCTGTGACATATGCAATAAAAATTAACCAGAAAAGTTGCAAATAAGAATATTAAAAAGACTTAAAACTTAGCAAATCCTTGTCAGGCTGTGGTTGCAGGAAAAAATAAAAAAAAACCTTAGCAAACCCTAATCCAAAGAAGGATGCTGTTGCTGTATTAGTATCAGATAATATAGACATTGAAGAAAGCATTGTTAAAGGCTGAAGAGGGTCACTACATTATTAAAGAAAAGCTTGTGCAGCTCTTGCATGCCAAGGCAAGAGGGTACTGGCTCAGCCCTTAATATTTGTGCTTGTGAGGATGGAACAGATGTGGGAAGACAGCTCTGTGAGGATGAACTAGATTAGGTATACATTTGACAGCTTGAAAAGATCTTAGAAGATCTTTTAAAAAAGATCTATAGTCAATTAAAAATCTACCTATAGGATTCTGGTAGAGGATGGTGGCTGCTCACTTCTGGAGCAAAAAAATACAAATACACAAAGTATTAATACATCACATCTTCTGTGAAACTGGGGGACAGAACAGACCCATGAACCTAAAGTCCCTCTGCAGACAGGAAAGTCCCAGAGACCAGTGGCATGTGCTGAAGAGCGGGTAGTGCAGAGGGGTACAGTGGTGCACCCTAGGCAGGGGTGCCTGCGCCAGACAGAACTGAGAGTTTAACGGGGCAGTGGAAAAAGAGGAAGCTGAGATGCCACGTCTTGGAAAGGACCCCCTTTCAAAAGGAAGGCAGCATCCTGGAAGGCAAGGAGAAGCAGCCTGAGGTGCCAAGAGCCCACAGAGATGTGGGTTATATAATGAGGAAACCAACCTCATCAAGCCAACAGCAGAGAGGGCACCCCTGAGATAAGAACCTGCCTCCCTACTATCCAGCCAATAACTGCTCCAACAAATCAGACTTATTCAGAGAAGAATGATGAAAAGGTTATGTAAGAAACCCTAACCAAGCTGGGCGTGGTGGCTCACGCCTGTAATCCTAGCTCTCTGGGAGGCCGAGGCGGGCGGATTGCTCAAGGTCAGGAGTTCGAAACCAGCCTGAGCAAGAGCGAGACCCCGTCTCTACTAAAAATAGAAAGAAATTAATTGGCCAACTAAAAATATATATACAAAAAATTAGCCAGGCATGGTGGCACATGCCTGTAGTCCCAGCTATTCAGGAGGCTGAGGCAGTAGGATCACTTGAGCCCAGGAGATCGAGGTTGCTGTGAGCTAGGCTGACGCCATGGCACTCACTCTAGCCTGGGCAACAAAGTGAGACTCTGTCTCAAAAAAAAAAAAAAAAAAAAAAGAAACCCTAACCAAAACCAGAATTTCCTTATAGGTAGAGAAAAGTCACTCGGAAAGATTTTGCCACAAAGCAGATGAAAATTATACTTTGACACTCATCATGAATTTTTAAATGTGAGGAATCAGAGACAGCCAGACAAAGGGAAAGGGTAAAATCATTTTCAAAGTGAAGCCCAAACCACAAGGAACACAAGAGGAGAATAGAAAGCACAGAGCAGACACCAAGGGTAGAAATGAGGACCAAGCAAAGTGCAGTGGGAAGAGAGAGCACAGAAGGATGGAGCAGGCTGAGGACGGCAGGCCAGAGCAAAGCAGGGGACACCAGGCATGTCAGTGCAGACGGGAGCCTGGCTGCTGAGGGAACATGGCATGTTTCGAAAGAATGATCCAAAATGGTTGCCATAATAGCTTAATAAGATTATTGGACATAACAAAGAATTCTTTGGCTAGCCAGACACAAATTTAAGTTGCTGCCAAGGGGAAGAAAATGTGGCCAGCCAGGGGCTCCTCACAGCAGGATTCAGTGCCGGAGGATGGGGGCTAGGGGCAACACCCACAGGAACCCAGGGCCTGTGTTCTGATGGACGGCTCTCTAGGCACAGTGACTACAGTGAGACAGATTGGAACATGAGAGAACGAAAGGAACAAGTCCTTCCTGAGGAAATTGCTAAAATATGAGTTGTGAGCAGCCAGTAGACATCAGGTGAAGCTCCAGCTACTGATGGTACATGTCAGTGGCAGACGGGGCAAAGGTACTGGGAGGAAAGACACATGCTCGAAATGTTATCCCTATCAGAAACGGAAACAGGAGGAGAGGGGAGGCAATAGGACCAACTCATCTGCAATATTCAAGAGTCAAGGCTGGTCAGTCCGGTAGGAGCAGAAGTTTAGGAATAGTTAGGATAAAGGTGAACATTAAGGTAATGCTACGGGTTAAAATTGGGTGATGGAGAGTAGATTGAGGGGAGGAGGAATCAGGTTAATTTTATTATTGGGCATAACGTGGGCAAGTGAATGCCACTGCGAGAGGCAGTGGAGATTTTAGATGCAGGTGGAAATGTTGGAGCATCATATAAAGAGCAGCCTGTAGGGAAAAACACAGGTCTCATCATAGCGAGACAGTAAAATCAACCCCATTACTTCACCGTGAATGGCTGAAAACCCACACAAAAAATGAAATAGGCCAGTGTGTTTTAACTGTGCCCAACAAACATATCAGTCATATCTGTAAAGTGAAAGTGGGTTAACTTAAAAGACTCCTAGATTCATAAAACGAAACCTAATACTCTATGTAAGAAACAAAGAGATCCTGAAAGGTTAAAATTAAAATAAATTTTACTTTACTTTTTTTTTTTACTTTACCTTTATTTTTTTATTTATTTTTTTTTTTTGAGACAGAGTCTCACTTTGTTGCCCGGGCTAGAGTGAGTGCCGTGGCGTCAGCCTAGCTCACAGCAACCTCAAACTCCTGGGCTCGAGTGATCCTTCTGCCTCAGCCTCCCGGGTAGCTGGGACTACAGGCATGCGCCACCATGCCCGGCTAATTTTTTTTTATATATATATCAGTTGGCTAATTAATTTCTTTCTATTTATAGTAGAGACGGGGTCTCGCTCAGGCTGGTTTTGAACTCCTGACCTTGAGCAATCCGCCCGCCTCGGCCTCCCAAGAGCTAGGATTACAGGCGTGAGCCACAGCGCCCGGCCACTTTACCTTTATTTTAATGAAAGTAAAATTGTGGGCAAAGGTATGCTAGGTAAAATCAAAAGGGATTGTTCTCAGACAGTTGGATTCAGGCCCCACCACTTCCAGCAATACCAAGGAAGGCTTTTGTAATGCTGCAGTCATCACTAGGGTGACTTCCTGCATTGTGTGCCCCAAAGAGCATAGCAGTGGCTTTCCTACAGCAACCGTTAGGAGAGCGACAAGAGAAAGACAAATGAACAAACTGATGGTGTGTTTACCTTTCTTAGTTGAAGGCAGAGATCCTGTCCAGATAATTAGCATGAATTAATCACTGACTGCCAAGAACAGCAAATAAACTGGAGGAAGGAATTAAAGACATAGCAGAAATTTAGAAGTTAGAAAACAGAAACTAAAGAAATAATAAGTAATCGTTTTTTACAAATACACAAAATGGTGCCATCTATTTTATTCCAAGCCCAGTGCAGTGGATTTGTGTGTTAGCACAGTAGGGAAGATGGAAGTGGGTCTCAGGAACCGAGAGAGCCTCACGTGCCTTCTGGGAGCGCACCTGGAGAGCACGGAGAGAAATCCCTGTGACCAAGTGGGATTTATCCCAGGAGTGCAAGGATGGCTGAAAACCCAGTCATTAGGTAAAAGAGGAAAACAAATCCAGGATCATTTTCATGAACACCAAAAGACTATTTGAGAAAAAATCAAACCTATTCCTGATGAAAATTTCTCAAGAAACCAGGACTAGAAGGACACTTCCTTAGCTTGATACAGGGTCTCAAAGTAGCTGCCTGCTGTATGCTCACAATGAGCCAGACGTCTAGATTCACAAACAGGACAGGAGTCTCCCTGCTCCTGCCTGGCCTGCCCCTGCAGGTACCAAGGGCACAGTGAAGAAGGAGCGAGCAGTGAAGGAAGAGGGGCTGCCAGTTTTGTTGGAGACAGAGACAGCTAAGCTGAGTTATGGGTCAAGTGCAGGGCTTCCCTCTACCCTCCTTTCACGTGCACAAAACTGCAAAAATGTGTAAGTGTACTTGTGTAAATGGAGCAAATTTTTGTGGAAAACTCTTTAAAAGAGTTTTACTGCAGAACATAAAAGATGATGTGAATGGTGACACACACTGTTTCTGGTTGGGAGATGAAATGTCATAAAGATAAACATTTTCTCAAGTGTGAATTCATTGTAATCTTCGTAAAAATATAAACAATTTTTAAATAAGCCTGGATAGGCAATTTTAAAGTCCATATAGAACCATAAATCTGCAAGACTAGTCAATGCTTTATCTTAAAGCCTTGAGGTGGGAGGGTGTGCTCCCCATTGCATTCCTGTGAAAACAGCATGGCTGGGCCCAGGGCAGATTGCAAGGTGCTGGGCGGGGGTGAGGCGAGGGCCAGGGCAGCCACTTAACAAGCACTGATGTCTCCCCTCACCCCTTACAAAAATAAATTCCAGATAGATTAACAAGCTAGGAAAGTTTGGGAGATATATTTTATAATTTGGGGGCTGGGGAGATGTTGTGAAGCTACGTGGCAAACCCAGAATACGTAAAAGCAAGACTGATAAAATAGTTGCATAAAACTGAGATGGATTTATGTGAGAAAACTGTCTATTTTTTAACTATAAAGTTAAATTTTGAGTGTTAGCACATGAGAAAGTTTTTCACACATAGTTAAAAGGGTCTTATATTCAGAATATGTAGGGAATATCTGCAAATCAGTTAAGGAAAAGATAAATAAAGCAGGGTCAAGGTGCTCGCTGCCTGAATCCGTGTGGTGCCTATCACCATGAAGTTCAATCCCTTTGTGACTTCGGACTGAAGCAAAAACTGCAAACGCCACCTTAATGCCCCCTCACACATGCGCAGGAAAATCATGTCGTCCCTGCTCTCCAAGGAGCTGCCTCAGAAGTACAATGTTTGCTCCATGCCCATCCACAAGGACGACAAAGTCCAGGTGGTTCAAGGACACAACAAAGGTTAGAAAATCGGCAAGGTATTCCAGGTGTACAGAAAGAAATATGTCATCTACATTAAGTGGGTGTAGCATGAGAAGGCTACTGGCACAACCGTCCATATGGGCATTCACCCAAGCAAGGTGGTTATCACCAGGCTAAAACTGGACAAAGATTGGAAAAAAATTCTTGAACGCAAAGCCAAGTCTCAACAAGTTGGAAAAGAGAAAGGCAAATACAAGGAAGAACTTATTGAGAAAATGCAGAAATGAATATAATCTTTGTGCAACCATAGTTTAACTGTAGATTTTTAGCCTAGTATGTGTTTCTTTGGAACTGTTCAAAAATATCTCTGGAACATTCCATTTCCCTCCTGTTTTGTTGTTAACCTGTGGCTCCCTGTAAGTCTACTTTTGAGATTTTGATTAATAATTTTATAAATAAAAATTGGAAATGTTTCCTAACAAAAACCAGGGTTAAGACATGGTGGGCCATACATAGATTAAAACAATATACATGCCCAGTAAAAAGGAAGGGATGCCTGAACCTCGCTGATGACCTGAGAAGTGGAGATTAGACTCTGTGGGCCCGTTAGGATGTTAAAGGACTGGGGTCGTCCTGCTGTGGCCAGAGTGTTGGCAACTTGTCCAGCCTGTGTGCCCTTTACCACTCTCATCCTACAGTGTGTCCTGAAGAGATGCGTGTATAGCCCCCGTGGACATGAGCACAGTGACTGCAGCACTGTCACAGCAAAAGTGAGAAACAGCTTAATGCAGCATCAGCAGAGTGCACATATGTGTTAAGGAATGCCATGCAACTGTTGAACAAGCAAAACTCTGGTTAGATTGTTAATATTGCACAGTGAATAGCACACGGTGCAGAGCAACCACATTCTGGTGCCATTTCTATTTTTAAAGAAACAACTAGTGTGGGAGTATAGAAAGGATGTGCAGAGGCCAGTCAATCCTGGGCAGGGTGTACCCTGGGGAGGTGTGTACCAGGGCAGGGTGCAGGCCCATCACAGGAGGTGGTGTGTGAACAGTGGCTTCCAGGCCTGCTGCCTCCTGGGATCACAGGATACAGCTTACGGATGCTGTGTTTATACATTATCTTCAATCTCCCTAAGGTTTTACATTAAGTCATAATTGTGATACTTTCCCCTCCCCTCACAGGGTAGGGACCCCACCCAATGGCATAGTCGACCTAGATCCTTCTAGGGTAAGGAGGGCAAGGCTGTGCTTGATCTGTCCGTTTGCCCATCATTGGGCAGTGGCATTGCCTCTGGATTTTGCCACGGTAGACGTAAAATGTCCTTTTCCACGCAGGCACTTGGATTTCAGGTCAATTCCCAGGACCACAGTGTACTTGTGATTCTCAGGGCTCTTGCTGTTGCTTTCCCAAAACCATTCCTGCCAGTCCTGTGGCCACCTCTCTCAGCCAGTGTGACATTAGCGTCATGGATGCAAAGTTAGAGCTTATTGTCATTCTAATTTGCATTTCTTTAAGTGCTTGGGAATTTGAACCTCTTCCCTTATGCTTGTCTGCCTGGATTGGCTCTCTGGAAATTGCCCCTGTCTTAGTTGGGTTAGTTATGTTCTCGTCTGTCAGTGCATATTTCTGTTGGCTGGCAGTGCTGGCCATCTGTGAGACTAATGTCTCTCGTCTCCTTTTTTGTTGTCAAGGATGGCATTAGGAGCGCTGGTTCACTGTCCATTCTCACTGGTGCTCACTAAGGCTCGGTCCTCTCCAAGTGGTCCGGACCTGCCCTCCATGAGCAAGAGAAACAGGACTGGCTTGGGAGTGTCCTGCTCGAGTGGACATGGGACACTACAGTTTTCAGTACAACAGGCAAACTGCTTGTCCAGTGTATCTTATGACAATGGAAATTCCTTTTCAAAATGACATATAATTGCTAGAAGTTGGCCACACATATAACTTGACTTGTACTTCACAGGACCGTATAATTGATGCTGGCCCCAAAGGAAACTATTCTCGGTTTATGAACCACAGCTGCCAGCCCAACTGTGAGACCCTCAAGTGGACAGTGAATGGGGATACTCGAGTGGGCCTGTTTGCCGTGTGTGACATTCCTGCAGGTACAGCTTTCTGGAGACTCTGTGAGGGGGCCTCTGGCCACACGGGCAGGCAGAATGGCTGTTGCTTTGAGCTGTGTGGTCAGACTGGAAAGGCTCTAGAGGAGGCAGATAATAATGTGGAAGTTTGGTTTTGTTTTGAGTATTTTATGAAGCAAAATTGAAAGCCATGGGTTATGCCAGTATAGATAGGAAAATAATAGTGTATTTTGTAGACCAAGTGCTCCTTAGGTTTATTAAAAAAGGTTAAGTGTTTCCAATATGGTATTTGTCTTCTCTTCTCCTAGGGACAGAGTTGACTTTTAATTACAACCTCGATTGTTTGGGCAATGAAAAAACGGTCTGTCGGTGTGGAGCCTCTAATTGCAGTGGCTTCCTCGGGGATAGACCAAAGGTAAAGTCATCTTTTTCATGCAGCTCTTGTGTGTGTTCCAGACATCTGGGAGCATGCGCCTTCTGGTGAGCAGGGACTTCCACGTTGGTGTGTTGCTGTGACAAGCAGGGGTGGGAAGCACAGCAGGGAACATACTCCCCTGGCAGATGCAGTGGGCTCTCAGAGAGGTCTGATTGTTAAGAGTTCCTCACTGGATGCATTTCCTGTGGATACCATAACAAAATGCCATGACTGGAAGGCTTGAACAGCAGAAATCTAGTCTCACAGTTCTAAAGGCCAGAAACTGAAGTCAGGGTGTGGGCAGGGTTCTGCTCCCTCTGGAGGCTCTCTGGGAGAATCTGTTCCAGATCTCTCTTCCAGCTCCTGGTGGTTGCTGGCAATCCTTGGCATTCCTTGGCTCGTAGATGCATAACCCAGCCTTTGCCTTCATCTTCACACGGCATTCTCCCTCTCCACATATATGCAGATTTTCCCTTTTTATGAGGACACACCAGTCATGTTGGATTAGGGGCCCTACTCCAGTATGACCCCATAGCTAATTACATCTGCAATGGCCCTATTTCCAAATAGGGTCACATTCTAAGACTCCAGGAAGAACATGAACTTGGGGATACTTTTGCACCCAGTACAACCAATCCCTTCTCTGAGCTGGTATCTATCCTTGCCTGTGTTGGTGACACAGGTCACTGCCACCTGCCTGCTGTCATGTTACTGGTGAGATTCCTCATGAAGAGAGCCCAGGAGGCAGGTGGGAGTCACTCTTCCTGCTGAGGCATTCTTTCCACCATGGGTCCAGGAGCCAGGTGTCAGCCGCCAGCTGCATGCATTATCGTGGGGGGGCTTTTGGCAAGGCTTATGCCTGATTTAGTCTTTGTTCAGTCTTTTCATATTCAGTCCAGTGAGTCTAAGGAGATGTGTCTGAAGAGCCTCCCTATGAGGCACGCCTCTCCACTCTTCTCCTAGTGCTAGAACATCTCCAGAGAGCGCTGACCTTCCTGGGCTTAACCTGGCTCTTTGACTGCTCTTCATAGTTTGCCTTTTGTTACCACCTCGGTCTATGTGATTCTCTCAAGTGAACTGTACTTAATTCTTAATTATAGACGTCAACGTCCCTTTCTTCAGAGGAAAAGGGCAGAAAGACCAAGAAGAAAACCAGGCGGCGCAGAGCAAAAGGGGAAGGGAAGAGGCAGTCCGAGGACGAGTGCTTCCGCTGTGGTGACGGTGGCCAGCTGGTGCTGTGTGACCGCAAGTTCTGCACCAAGGCCTACCACCTGTCCTGCCTGGGCCTGGGCAAGCGGCCCTTTGGTAGGTGAACAGCTCCATGGCAGCCTCAGGCCGTGTCTGTGGGATGAGCCCCTGACAGCTCTCACTACTCTTATCTGCAGACCAAGCCTCATCTGGTCGCAAATGTTGTGGTCACTTAGTGAAAGTCCAGGATGCCGGAGCCTTTCTTTGTTCCACCAGCTGCATGTTCTAGATGTGTATATTGAGCAAAGATCTGTGGTGATGGTGGAGCCTGCTCCAGGGAGGGGCTCAGGGATGATCCCCCCTGAGGCCCACTGGAGAATTGGCCCCCTTGTCCATGAGGGCTGGTGGTGGGGAAAGGAGATGGCCCAGGGAGCAGAGCTTTTCCCAGAAGAGGGGCCTTCTGCAGCAGCCTCAGTGGCTTGAGTCTCCCAGGGCCTGGCCTAGCTGCACACCACCTGGAAAGGAGGGCCACAGAGCCCCTGGCCAGGGCGTGCACGGCACAGTGATGATGCTTATGCATTAGAGGAGCCACTGGTTGACGATGGGGTCACAGATCTTACTCTCTATTAGAAAGAAAATGGAGTGGGCTCTGCCTTCCACCAGCACCACGTATTTCAGAGAGAATACAGGCCTCAGTGTGAAAATAGTAACTATAGTCATGTGTCACTTATTGATGGGAATACACTTTGAGAAATACATTATTAGATGATTTCAGTGTTCTGCAAACACCACAGAGCATACTTACACAAACCCAGATAGTGTAGCCTCCTCCATTGTAGTCTTATGGGATCATTGTCTTAAATGGCAGTCTGTTGTTGACTAAAACATTGTTATGGGGGATGTAATCTCAAAAGAAAAATTCAGAGGCCCTCACCCAAAGACAAGAAACTGAAAAGCTATGAAAAGAGAAGTCAGACATGTTTGAAAAACATTTTGCATGGTAAATGACGAAAAACCAAGGTTAACAGACAGATGATAGAGAACAATATTTGTAGTGGATGTAATAGAATTATCTCTAACCTAACAAAGAACATTCACAAACTCATGCCAGAAAGATCAATACCCAGGTAGCAAATCAGTCTTAGGTACAGACAGGTCATGGGGAAGGCCAGGGCCTGGGTAGACATGTGACCCAGAACAGGGCAGTGCCCCTGCCTCACACTCAGGGCTGGTGGGACAGGTCTGCTCCCAGCACAGCTACTCAGTCAGTTGCCAAAACATAAAGAGAAGCCGATACTTGGTGCTCAGGAGCCTGGTGGGCACTTGGAGTGTGGGCACTCTAGGCTCTGCCCAGAGAGCCCACACCTTTTGCTGGGGCAGCTGGAGATGGCCCTGTCCACACATCCCTGGTCACTGCACCCAGTAGCGTTGTTGTCATCTGTGTGCCCTTGACTAGACAGTTCTAAAAATCATCTTCAACCATGACAATGTTAAAGTTGTGATCCTGTCACTTCTGTCCGCTAATATCTTGTGTTTTGTTGCAGGGAAGTGGGAGTGTCCTTGGCATCATTGTGATGTGTGTGGCAAACCTTCAACTTCGTTCTGCCACCTTTGCCCCAATTCATTTTGTAAGGAACACCAAGATGGGACAGCCTTCAGCTCTACCAAGGATGGGCAGTCCTACTGCTGTGAGCATGACTTGGGGCCAGAATCAGTCAGAAGTGCCAAGACTGAGAAACCCTTTCCAGAACCAGTGAAGTCAAAGGGGAAGAGGAAGAAAAGGAGGTGTTGGCGGAGGGTCACAGAAGGCAAATAGCATCAGGTGGCAGCTTGGCCAGATCCAGGGGCAGTGTGGGGTGGCCAGCCCTTCCTGCAGGGAGAGGGCAAGCATGGGACTTGCCCCGAGGACCCAGCTCACGGCCGCCAGGACAGATGCATAGGCCTCCTCGGGAGGGAGCGCCTGCCCACCACTGAGCCATCCTCAGCAGCGTCCGCTGCGTCTGCACTGATGACCGTCAGAGCTACAGCTCGGCGTTCCAGGACAAACCAGCCTTACTACACAGCATTACAGCAACACTTGAATTTCTAAGAATGTCAAGGTTCCCTCCCACTCTATTTTTTTAGGTTAAAGTTATGATTGAAAGTTAATTGGCTTATGAAATGTTTTTTATCTCATCTGAAGTGTATAGAATAGTATTTTTTCTAAAGCATCACTATTAACTCTGACCTTAATGTTACTCTGCTTTCGCTTACAGCGTTGTCATCACTCAGGAGAGACCAGGGTGGGCCTGTGCAAGGACTCGGACCCTGGATTCCTTGGAAACCGTGATTTTGATTATTTTGCTCTTTTGAAACAGCTGGGTTTTTTTTTTTTTTTTTTGGTACTAATGTGAATTTTTCCTCAATGCTTCTTTCCCATCCTAGTGAGAAGCTGGCCATGCAGATAGTGATAGTGTTGTAGTAAGATTTTTCTCCTGTAGCTTCTTCTCTTCATGGATTTGAACTAAATGCCAGTAACCTGTCCACCTTGAGTGCAGGTCACCCAGAGCAGCCTTTCCCAGCCTGGCCAGGTTGCGCCCCTTTTCACCTGGGCCTATCTTCTGAACTATTATTAACATCTGGGGGGAAACTATATTTTTTTCATTTGGCTTTTTCCTTTCTAGTTCTGGTTTTTATTTTCAATATATTTTTGCTAAACCCATTCCACAAATCACCACCAACTGAAAAGTGTATTTACTGGTGCAGCCCTGAGTCCCGAGGCAGGAGTCATCTCCATAGGGGTGTGATAACTGCAGTCTGCCTGTAGTGGTAATTTAGGGAATCCCAAAGGGCCCTGCAGGCACCACCCCCCAAGGGACACAGCACGTGGTCTGAGGAGACCCAGAGTTTCCAGCTATTGCCATCTGAAGTGATTTCCACCTCAGCACTCTGTGGGTCTGTCACTAGAAACATTGAACTGTGCCAATCTCAGTTGTTCTCCACCAGGTGGGTGTGCGTGCACACGTGTGGGCATCTGTGTTGGGCCAGGTCTGATACCCACTCCCCTGTGAGATTTCAATTATCTTTTAGTTATTAAAAGGTCCAGCCCTACAAAGTGAGGAATATCCAAGTACTATATTCTGATAGACTCTTGGAAGACTTGATTCTTCTTTTCTGGGGGTTCCTCTTGACCCTGGGAAGTGTGGAGTACCCTGGGAAGGGGAAGGTATGTGTGCCCTGAGGGGCTGCCTTGTCTTGGAGGGCGGTTGGAACACTCAGCAGCAGCTGCTTTTT